ATCGAATTCTCTAATAAAAACAACTGCTCAACAAAGCCTTTGATTTTTTGTAGCGCATGCCATAAACTTCATTATCAACTATCGTTTGTGCCCCAAACGGTAAAACGCTACAAAGCTTCGATATTGCACGTTTATTATCTGACAAAAAGGCAAGCACAGATTTCGATTTAAAAAAAATGTGTTAAAACGTCCAACGTCAAAAACACAAACAATGAAGCAGCAACCTTCTTATGCACATACATATTTAGTTTCTAACGAACCCTTGTACAAACATATTTGCATACTACTAATTTTCGGATGCCAGAGTTGCCACCGGGAAGTATATTTCCGAACAAATTTTCAGTCTGTAGTAATTTTTAATCTTCATTCTTTTAACTTAGCTTGAAGCCATTAAAATAAATTTGTAATTAATCGGAATGTTAAATGTTCTTTATGCCAGGATTTTAATTCTAGATTCAGCATCTTTAATATGCCTAACTCTCTTCTCAATGTAAATAAATCTTTATTGTTCAAACCCACCCTGAAGGAAATTAAATTAGTTTGAAAGTAATTTATAAACCATCTACTTTATTTTCAGTAATAAATAATTGAAACTCTCACTTTTTCTCCTGCAACGAACTGATTTACTTAACGTGGCGATGTCCTAGAAAGCAGTCAATTATCCGTCTCTGCATTTGATTTCAATTACTTCATAATGCATTTGGCTTAAAGAACTTAAAAGTCAATATGTTTAATTTAAATACCCTTTCGTTCTGCACTTCACAGATCCTTTTTCATATTTCCAAGATACAAGGTGTTTCTTTGAGTAAAAATAGTATCAAATTTCAAAACATTTACTTACTGTAGTTGTTAACCGACTTCAAAAAAGAAGAAGGTCATTAATTTGTAGAATTTTTTTTTAGTATAATTATTTTAAGGAAAGATGGTACTTTATAGGTGTTTCGGTTTCGTTTTTTGCTTGAAAATTACTTGTTTCAAAGTAGTTTTCCAATTAGTTGATTAAAAAAAAAAAACACACTTTCTTCCGTCAGGACAATGAATGACTGAAGATAGTCATAGCACATAAAAATCAGCTAGTAAATTTTGTTCCATAGATAAATTCATTAGACCCTGAATTATCAAAACTTTTATGATTCGGCACAACGATAAAAAATTTTGACTTCCGTTTGTCAGGGTACAATTTTGATCAGTTGACCTGCTCCGATAATGCGGATCAACGTTGCCGTTTGTCTATGCTATAAGTTGCAGCTCTCACCCTGCCCATTTTCATTGACGACACTTAACGAATTTTAGAAATGGCGCTAAATCCAAATATTGAGCAAATTTTGGGACACCCTATAAATACTATCTATATGTAAGTACATGTGAAGGCATCACAGTCGCTTGCTCGTAGATATCGCTTTCATCTGTCCTAGTAGTCCTTGTAATTAAAATTGTTTGCAAACAATTTTGTAACACGGTAGCGTACATGCTTCTTGCCCCACGCCATTGACATTGCCTAAAACTATAGGCCTACTATTGCAACATTCGCTTACTCTTGCGATAGAATTTAATGTTGCTTTTCCCACCGGCTCTGTGTTGATCCATTTTCTACTTATATTTACTTTTTATCAGAGACCCGTGATCTCTTCTATGAAAATACAGTTATCAATTGCTACTTCAAATATGCACATGCAATTTTAGTGAATGCACAAATATATTATTTTGTTGTTATTCAGAAGGAAACTCATATTTGGAAAACTTTATTCCAATTTTAAAAGGTGTCGGTGTGCATTTGAAATTTTGCATACAAATACCATGTAAAAAAAAATCAGTTCTCTTTAAAAATGTTATAACCAGGACCGAAGAAAATAAGCAAGAAAAAATCAATTTTAAGCGCTTAGATAAGCACTAAAACATTAGGGGTATTCTCCAAATCTTGCAAAGCCATTGCACGTAGCACGGATTGCACGGATTGCATAAATTGCAAACACACAACAAGAAAATTCATGGGAAACAACATTTCCTATCGCTGCAAAATATGCAACGTCGAAACCCATGTATATATTTTGCAAAATAGCATAGCAAGATAATAGCGACCCTGTGCTAGTTGTTTTGTTGTTGGAATTGCTACATATTTCTCTCATTCCTCTCATCTCGCTCACTTAATTTTTTTTTGCTGTCTCTTGTTATTGTATTTGATACATAATTTCGCTGCTTGCTCCCCATGCATGCTACCTCTTTGCAATGGGGTGTTCTCGTACTCTTCGAAATTTGGAATAGTATTTTTGCATTTCGTGCAATCCGTGCATCGTGCAAGACTTCGAGAATACCCCTATTGGTAAATATGCTTGCAAATATGCTCGCAAAACAACAAAACATAAGTACAGTTTAATGTCTTTTTGTTCAGTTTACTTCAAGGATTGAAAAATTACCATGGACACAAAGTGTTGCTCGATATTCTCAAATAATGGAGATCTGCGTTGGTTGTTTTAATTTTTTTTAAATATTCGTTATTCGGTATTCAGTAACACCAATGCTTCCCGTAGAGACAAACCATTGGTTTTAAGTTTTTATATTCAAGCAGAAATGAAATTGAAGTTATGAGTTAATAAAAACTAGTTCTGTTTTTTTTGTTATTATTTTTAAACATTTATTTAGTTCGAAGAATACAAAAAGCCTAAGAAATGGTCAAGAAAAATGTATAGACCCCAATTTCTTAAGCAGTACGAAGTTCTTAAGAAATTTGCTACGTTTTCTATTATGGTTTGCTAAAATTTCTTTGTGAAGAGTACATGGCGCCCTTGTTTTAAACAGAAAAACATATATGCCCGTTCCGTTATTTCGTAAGGAAAAAGTGAGACAGCAGGCTGTGAAATATCAGATATTAAAATAAGCAATTCCAAGCAAAAGCTTCAACTTTTCGGCCCTAGTTATAACTAATGAACCGTTTCAGATACATTTAAATTGTATAAAAAATTACCCTGAAGTTGATTGTCTACACTCAAAAATTTATATACTTACGAGCTATGAAAAAAAAACAGAAATATGTAGTTTTAGTTTACAGATTTGTTAGAGAAGAGAGAGTTTCAATCCATTTATTTATTTTTTATTGCATTTTTAAACATTGATATTCTTTTTAGTTGTTAATAAAATTCAGTTTATTGCAATTAGGATATTGTTGCACTACTTGCAAAGAAATTGCTTTTGTTCGTCTTCTTCTTTCGTCAAAGCTTGATTATGATTTTGTATCAACGCTATGCCTCGTTCAGCAATATCATTAACGTATTTAGTACTCTTAATCGTCTCTAAGACAACCACGTGCAGGGTAATTTTTTAGAGAATTTAATACACTACAAGAATATGCAAAGAAAAAAATGTTGCCCCCAACGGTTCAATAGTTAAAACATTTTTAATAAAAACAAATTTTTTTACTTGCTATTGACCTGAAAAATTTCAAATTCCCACTAACACCTTGTAAAATTGGAATACAATTTTTTCTTTTTAAAACAATAAGATCTAAAAATTTTATTAAAGAAAGAAAAGCAAATTTAATTAACTATAGAAGAAAAAATCTATAAAAAATTTTTAAAGTTAAATGAAAAAAAAAAAATCTTGTTTCTTTTTAAAACAATAAAATCTAATAATTAAATTAAAGCAAATTTAATTCGAAAGTTATACAGTTAGGGTCAAAGATTTAGCACCAAAATTCAAAAGGATATTGTTTGAAGCTTATGTATACTCATTTATTTTTAATGATTTTTGTTTAAAATATAATTCACTCTATAACAGAAACCACATAAATAAAATTTTCAAAGCTTGCATAAACTTCACAAAAATTAATGATGATTTCGTTTCTACCAAAAAATATTGTCTTTTGATTTCCCCTTTCTCTTTTCGTGTTCTATTCTAAAATAAAGGCAAAGGGTGAGAAATCTGTGTGTTCGTTTCTTAAAATGTCACACTCATGTAAGGCAAAAAATGCACATTCTCTGCCCTGTGAAACGTTGTCAGGGGAGATGGTTGCCCTGAAAATCAGATGGTTGTTTAAAACGACAAAATTATGAAATGCGTTAACTAGACCTAGACAAAGGCAAGGAGGCAAAAACATGCTCTTCTGCAGGGTTGAGTGTAACATCAAATACATTTTGCACCGGGAAAGGGCAACATAGTTTGAAAGAAACGAAATCACCATAATAAAACTTCAAAAAAATTTCATCAAAATTTCAAACATTTTTATCAGATTTTTTTTTGTAGCACATTCAATGTTATTCTATTAAAGTACAAGTTCCAGGTAGCTAATTTTATTTTTTTTTTGTCAAGGGTTTTGTGCATTTTTTTCCATATAAAATTAGATTTTGTTCATGCTAACGCATGGAAAAAACGTGCAGCTCCCTCGACGAAAAAAATTCTCAAAACTCAAGATTCTGATTAAAGATTTTTATTAAAAAGTTTGATAGTTTCGATGAAAAATATTTGGAGTTTGATTGCATTTTTCGCAAGCTTTGAGACTTTTATTTATGTGGTTCCTATTATGAATTGAATTATATTTTAATTGAAAATTATTAAAAATAGATAAACATAAAATTCAAACAATATCATTTTGAATTTTGCTGCTAAATCTTTGATCGTAGCTTTTGTACGCAAATGCTTTTCTTTAAAAAACATTAAAATCTAAAAATTAAGTTAAAAAAGAAAAACACACTGAATTAACTAAAGAAGACAAAATTTTAAACTTAAAAAAAATATTTTTCTTAAAACAAATTTAAATAAAAATAAAGAAGTGTTTCTAAAAAGTAAATTTAATTTAAAAAATATATATGTTTTTTAACAATAAAATCTAAAAAAAAAGCTATAAAACGTAAATTTCATTTTAAAAAAATGCAGGTAGACTTATTTGGGCAAACAAAAAACATTCTGGACAGTGTAGTCAATAGTGTCTACAGTCGATAGTTCTCTAGTATAAAATATGTACAATTAGTATGTAAGTATGTAGGTATCTGAACAAAGTAATAGTTTACCTTTTTACCGTCTAGTTCGTGTGTACCTTGTGTTAGAACCTTGTCAACGCTGGCTGGATCACTGAATGTTATGAAGCCGAAACCTCTGAAAGTGGAAGAAAAAATTACAATTAAACTTACTAGATTTTTTAAATTTATAACATACAACTAGATCTCAGAACTGAAATGCAATAAATACATGACAAAGGTTTTGAAGTACCAGATTTTTTTTTCAATCTATCTATGTAGATTAGACCACTTCAAAAAAATAAATAAAAAATACTGGAATGCCCCCGCAATCTGACCCAGATTTTAGTATTTGATATAGTAATGATCCTCCATAAATCTCCCCTCTCTACAATAATTCTAAGAGGTCGCGCATTGAGTGTTTATTTTTTCCATAGGAATAACACATAATATTTAAAATGAGTTATTCTCTTTTGAGGTCAGTATATTTTTCTAGGATCGATCATAACGTCGGAAACTTTAAGAATACATTGATTACATGCCATTTAAGTGTTATGCAGGCTCAGATTCTTTAAATTTCCGTTGGTTTGTTTATCGCTTGGTAAGGGGCGTTTAAGTTTTTGGCAGTAATTTCCAACAGTTTTCAATGGTATGTAATTAAATGAGGAAAGATGACTATGTTATCATTTTTATTCCAGCTTCATCAAAATATTTCACTACTTTTTACAGAAAAAAGTTACATTTATAGCAAGGAGTGAAACCGATTCAAAATAACGTTCCGGTTTGGGTTTCGGTTTTGCCAAGTGTTTCGGTTTCGGTTTTGGTTTCGTTCTTCAAAATTTATTTCGGTTTTGGTTTCGGTTTCGTTCCGGTTTCGGTTTTTCACAGAAATTTTGTTGATATTATTTAAATCACAATGTCTTAAACGTTGAGGAAAGAAAATCGAAAATTACAGTTCACTGATAATATCAACACTAGGTTCTTTCCCTAACAATCTGGACCGGATTTGGTAATTAGAGAATAAGAGAAACATTTTCTTTCAAAAATGGAACAAAGTTCAGAAGTACGGAAACGCAAAAACCCACATTTTGTGCCCACAAGTCGAGAAACAGCTGATTCACGTTGTTCTTGTTTTTGTCACTTATACCATGTTCCGACCGACATCGGAAACATGTTTTCGATGCTAAAACTGGTTTTCGACCTAAAACTTGTGTTTTCGTCCATATAAAATCTGTTAAACGGAAACCAGTTTTCGCTGAAAACTACTTGAAAACTCACTTTCCACTCATTCCAATCGGTGTCTTCACTAGTTTTTTTCGATTATTTATCGAAGTGGAAGTCATATTTTATCATCTTTAATACGCCATTTCGGATTTATTGTTAATTGCCTGGCCAAAGCAAAATAAGAATGAAAGTTAAAGGTTGTGAATGAAAAGAAAATGAAGGAAAAATGTTTTGGTTGTCGGTCAGAACATGGTATTAAATGCAAACACTTGAAAATTGAATTTTGGTTTCACAAATTTGATTTTAAGTACATAGATTGAAACTACATCAACAGGCCATTCACTTTTCCTTAAAAGCACCAAGTAAATGCAGGCAACATGTAAACACAATACAGCTTATATGCACTTTGACACTTTATCCATTTTTACTCGGAGAAAATTTCGGGCTGTTTCGGGCAGGAAGAAGAATACACTTACGATCGAATACGCTCGAATTTTCGCTCTCTATTACCCATTTTGTTGAGTACAGGCATGATTTCTGGGCTATTTTGGGCACACGCGGGATCTCGCATTGCGTACGGGAAAGAAACTAATTAAATATAATTAATCGATTATCGATTCACAACAACAAAGTCATTAGCAGATTTTTGCGAAAAGTTACCTTGCCATACTTATTTACTACTTAACAAGAATTTTAGCAAAATGTTGCTGATTTTGGTTAAATAAATCATTTATTTCAAAGAAATTTTTATTTATTATTTTTGTAAATTTCTGGAAACCGATTGAAACCTGTGATTGAAATGGTTTCGGTATCGTTCCTTTTCAGGTCAAGATAACGGTTACGGTTTCGGTTTCGGTTTTGAAAAACGAAACGGTTTTAAACGGTTACGGTTTCGGTTTGGGTTTCGGTTTCATTCCTTGATTTATAGTCTCTCATAAAAACGAGAGTGATGGATGATTCCAAGATAAACCTCAACCAGTCGGATGGCTCCCAGTACGTTAGCAGAATAAGATATAAAGATTTGGAATCTGAGACAACAATATAAAGAAGGGAACTACCACCCAGTTTGAGGATGTGAATGATATTTTATACTATGGCATTTATTAGTCAACCATCTGTCAAAAATTGTGCGTGTAAACAAAAAATATGCAGTCGTCTATACTTTTTCTTCAGATAAGTAAAGAAATATCTTAAAAGAGTTGGCATAAAAATTTGAGCATGGCTTGAAAACAGTTTCCAATTTACCAACTTTCCGATGAGCTAGAAGCTCGGTACACTTTGACGACTGCAACTTCACGACGTAACGACAGCGACATCATTTTGTCGACAAATGTCGCCTTGAAGCCAGCTTCTTAAACATTTTGAAGACCTCAGCGACATAGCAAACAGCTGATTTTAAAGTTTGACATTTTGGTATATTTATTTCACAAATTGTGTATTTTTATTTAAGTAAATAAGAAAAACATGAACAATCAAGAATATGTGATTAATTTTGCGACAATTTAATTTTGCAGTACTACATCTACTCATTGTCGCCGGCAAAATTAGAAATAGATTTAATTTGGCGACGTCGACAATTGCAGTCCTGCAGCCAAGATGTCGTGCTGTCGTCAAAATAATTGTGTCCGTAAGAACGTGTGTATTTAAAATTTGACAGATGCTGCTTGTCGCTTGCTGTCGTCAAAGTGTTCCGACCTAGACACTTAAATTTCAAACCTACCGCAGAACCCGATGGCAATGCAATATAAAAGATGAATTAATTCGCTATAGTCCGATTTGGTTCATATTTTAAATGTATATTACCTATATGGAAGGAAATAGCTCAACACGGAAATTAGCATTTATACTGTTGTAGTATTATTAACAGGGCCGAAGAAAATAAGCAAGAAAAAATCAGAAATGCACTAAAACGTTGGTAAATATGCCAGCAAATATGCTCGCAAAACAACAAAATTTTGTGTAAAGTTTAATGATTTGCTATCTCGAGCGCACTTACGCATAACGGTAGCCTGTAACTAGGGTTGCCAGATTTTGAAACGGAGAAAGGAGTACATTTATATTTTCGATAGAAAAAAAGCAGTACATGACATAAGAAAGGAGTACAATTTTTTATTTTTTTTGTGCAATTTATTGTTACAAATTACTATTAATTAGGTACAAACAAACAAAGATATCTTAGAAATCTTTTTCAAAGCAACAATAAACCCCAATAGGGGTGGTTGTTAAAGAGATGGAGATCGAAGGGGGAGTGGACGTGGCACCTTTTTGGAGAGGGCATGAACCGCCATTGACAAAAATTTTACTCCCGACCACCTAGGGCCCCTATGGTTCCCTAGGGACCCCTTAGAAAAAAGACACTTGCGTTTTTTCGTTTGAAAAAGGTTGAATATTCATTTGCATGGGACATTTTATATACCCTTGATAACAAAAGAGGTGCCTGCCCCTCTTCCCCGGCAACACAGAATACTACTTAGTAAGGGTTATAATCCCTAACCGCGGCCGAAGGCCGCCTACGCAGAAAGGAGTTAAGTGCAAAAATACTTTGGATACCGAAGCCGGAATTATATCCACAAGAAATGTTATACACTTTTGACGAAGAGAGGGGCTCCTCCTCTCTTCTTCGGCAACACAGAAAGGAGGATTCTACGTAGTAAGGGTTATAATCCCTAACCGAATTCTACGCAAAAATACTGTGGACGCAAGTGAAAATTGTGATTTTTTGCGATTTTTCTATAGGGTCCCTGGGAGCCATAGGGCGCCTAGGTGGGGGTTGGAGGTGCCACGCCCACTCCCCCTTCGCTCACCGCCTCTTCAGTGACCGCCCTTATAGGAAAGAATTCGAGACTCTTCCTGAATGTATGGCCATTTTTTTAATTTAAGCCTTATAAATAATTTAATATTTTTCTGATTTTTATATCCGAGCGCCCTGCACTTACCTTGCTACGGCCATGCTTACACTTTTTCACTATCACACTTAACTTTGCTTACTAAGCGAAATACACCACACAAGCGGTTTGACAAACCAAGCGAAATTTCCCTTTGCTTCAAGCCATTTGTGCTGTGTATGGGGGTGTTTGAAGGTTTGACAAACCGCTTGAGGGAAATTTGAGCAAAAATCAAAATTTTTTGATTTTCTGGCCGCCATGTTGATGTTTGATCAAACCGCTTGCGTTGTGTATAGCAAAATCGCCTCATTCGCAACGAAATTTTCACCGAGTAAGGACGTAAGAGAGGAAAATGAAAGAAAACCACAATATTTAGCATTGCGAACTGGAAGAAAACTAAAATTCTTTGCTTGAACGAGTCATGTTTGCATGGTGTATGGCGAAATGGGAAAAGTAGGTTTGAAGAATGTTTGACAAGCCGCTTGTGTGGTGTATTTCGCTCTTAAGTAGTGGTTGCCACAATATGAATGGCAAAGTACAGGATGTAAAATAATAACTGTCGCACAGGTTTTTTGAAAAATAAAAGGGTTCATTATAGATTTTGTTAAACAAAGTATTTTTTTTGTTAACTTTGTAAATATTTTACTTTAATTTTATTAACTGGTTTTAAAGTTTTAATCTTTATTTGCATGTGTCAACTTTGGGAGATAAGTACATGCAGCACACACCTCTTTTTCAGGTGTATTTTTTATTAGATTTTGTATAAAGAAAAAAAACTGTATAGGGTTGGTCGAATGAATTCCCTCCTAGTGGGAGGAAATTAGCCTATGGTTACATGGTTACAGAAGAAATGTAATAAAGTAATCGACGAAGACTTGCGTGCCGCTTGCGCTTTTCTCCCAAACCCCCTGGTAAACCCAAATGAAGGTTAAATTTAAAGACTATACAATAACGACTTTTTCACTTGCGCTTTTCTCTCAAAGTGTTTATCGCCGGTTAACCCAAATGAAGGTTAAAATTTAAAAACAAA